TTGCTGAATAAATCTTCACATTTCCCTCATGATCATGCAATATATGTATAATATTAATTATACTATGGTAAAAATTAGAATTCAATAACATAATCAATAACATCCCATAAACAATTGAAGTGTTCCTTGACACCTGTTTCTTTGCGTAGCATGGCTTTATCCCCTTCTTTAGACCTCAGATGTAATCTGTTAATTGTTCGAAGTGTTTTCTTTGGTTTTCTAGAATGTATAACCTGATCAAATGTCCCAGAGGATGACTAAAAAAAAACAAAGAACTTGGAAATAATTCTTTCCCCTAGTAAATAAACCTCAACGAGACTCTTAAGGTTTTTGTTGGAAAACCAGATTTAGATTGAGGAACAAGAAACTGTAATTGCAATTGAAATGATGCGGTGTACACAGCAGCCTTTTACAGTCAATGAAAAGTTAAATAGACTTATCAATCAAGGTCCATGTGCATAAATGCAGTGGGGGGGGGGTATGATTTGAACTTAATTGTGGCCCCACCCTACCCTTGGGGGTCATGATTTGAACAAACTTGAATCTATACTACTTGAGGATATGTCCAATCATGGTTTTGCTGTTCTTGAGAAGATGATTTTTAAAGATTTTTTCCTTTGTGTTCCTATGTAAAACGTTGATCACCTATTGTGCCACCACCCTACCCCTGGGGTCATGATTTGAACAAATATAAATACAATTCATATTGTAACATAACCCACATGAAATGAAATGATTCACATATTTAAGTCAATATGTGACTTAGAAAAATCTTTACTCACAAGGCATCTTGGACAATATTTGTCTGCAGATGCACCAAGATGGTTGCAGCAGTGTGAAAGCATGTTATAATCTGCAACAATAACATCCAGAGGACACTTTATCATACATTCTTCTTGGTTGAGGGCATCAAAAGAAATTACACCATGTCTGAAATGAAAGGGAAGTATTGACAAACACAGTAAATTTTTCTTAGCCTTTTCATTAAACATAATAAAGATTAGAAATAATTATAACCTTTGACATTGTTTTATATCAGCAACAGCTATTTCCACCAATTTCAGTATTTCTACTTTTTCTGATGCTCCAACAAAATGTACATGTCTTTCTTTGTGCCGTTCATCAACTGGAATTCCTGTAAATATAAATCCAAAGAACCTAGGGTATGGATTTTTACTTCTATCCTCTTTTTCTTTATTTAAATCTTGCAGAGATGTATGAATTCCCTGACTATAGATTGCCAATTTCTTATACCTCTAAATAAACCAAAATATGAATGAAATGTAGACAAGGTTTATCAAGCAAAGACAGTGTAATATTTATGATATTCCATGGATTATATAGTTTCAAATTCTGTTTCCCTATTATTACAACCAAATCACTGTACAGTAAAACACGCTTATAACGAAATGCCAGGGGACAGACAATTCATTACAAACGTCCCAGTAATTACATAGTTAAGTTCATAATACTATTCAAAACCAAGGGGAATGAAAATCACTTCACAAAAAGCATAAATTCACTTTAAGCATGTTCGCTATAAGCATGTTTTACTCTGCAAGAAATTAAATAAATAACCAGTACCTGATAGTTGCATCTGTATACAATGTAATGCCAGCCATTTCTTTGATCTATGAGTTGACGTGTCATCCAAAAAAAGGTTTACGGGAACAGTCAAAATTGGCATATTCATACTTGAGTACAGATTAAAGTGCTGAAAAATATTATTTTGCTTGTTACATAATAATTCCAAACTCAATCACAGGTTCAACTAACAACATGGAGAAATCTTGTATTAAGCTGTTCAAACTTTCATAGAAACCTTTAATATACCATTTATAAAATAAAATATATTCAAACTTAAAATTTATTTATGACATGAATGCGAAAGGATATTTAAATTATATGCTTCTTACATTCTGGTTGATAGGTCCAGAAACCACCTCTGAACTTTCTTTTGTGTAGTACGATTCATTTTCATAGGTTTTTCTGTGTTTTAAGCTTTGTAACTTTTTACAATGCTTTCTATCACTTGATATAAGAAATGCTCTATTGAGAAAAAAAAATAACAGTCAGAATATTTATCTAAATTTAGGTACTTTTAATTTAATCTACTGTACAATAAAGCAATACTTCATTGGCTGAAAAAATACATGTATCATCTAAATTGAATTACACAGCTTGCCTACATCTCAGTACAAAGTTCATGCAGAACTTATTACTCAGCTTCACGTCCCATTCAAAATTTTTACAATGTAACATCATTTTATTGAATTTTTTTTTATTATGAATTTTATAGTACAAAAATAAATTTTAAGGAATGAATTCTAGTTTTTTACTTTTGTTATACAAGCATAGCATATTTAAAACAGTTTGTGCTTTTTTTAAAATTACTTTGTAAAAATTCAATTAACATTAAATAGGACTTACTTTTCACTTTGGCAGCATGGAGGTTTAAGTAGCATGGGCTCTACAGTTGAAATAACAGCTTCTTTTACATTTTCCTGATAATTAGAACATGGACAATATATAAAATAAAATGTAAATGTGAATGTATTTGCGCAAAGAATGTCAAAGTTTTCATTTTCGTTAAGTATGATGTGTTAATTTTCACAGTCTTTTCGCTTTGATTTTATTTGAAGTTTAGTATGAGACTGTTTACCTTGACATTTTCTACAAAGCTTTCAATAATTCCCATCTGCTCAGTTTCATCTGATTCAAATATGCACACCTCATTTTTAAAAAAAGCTGTGTTTTCATCTGCAGCATAACAGAATTCTAAATCACTTATCCACTTCTCTCCGTACGCAGGATGACTTTTTTCTCCTAATGAATCTACTCTGGGATACCTATTATATATACATATTACATTAAGTTGTAGATGTGATTACATTAAGTTGTAGATGTGAAGAATATGTATTGATCAAAATATAGTTCTTGACTTTTGGTCATCACAAGAGTGACAACATGCATGAAGTATATTTAAAATAAATGCAAATCAATCACCTTGTTACAGACTTTGTAATAATACTCATTTCACTACAATGGCTAGTTTACTTATTATATATCAAGAAATTTATTTACACTTATCTGATGATTTTTTTGGAAACATTAGGGTGAGCAACTGCCATCTTTACTATTGCTGATGGTTTAATAGCCCACATTGGAGTACTGTCATCATCATGGCTCTATACAAAATATAAAATTATAAGTGATACAAATTCACTGATAAAGAGAGAGAGAGAAATACATGAGATACAGGATAGACAGTGTATTAAAATAGATATCCTCTATTTTTCTATTTCATCATACAATACTTCAATAAATTGAATATTTACTTTAATTAGGAACTCATTCCAATCAAAGGAACCAAAGCATTTTCTTTTGATTGAAGAAAATGGAGGAACATCCTCTACTCCACACTGTTTTAAGATGAAAACAACAAATTTAACTACTTCATCACTCTGAAAAAGAATAATAAAAAGTGTAAGAATTTGTACAGATATGTGACAAAAGTGAAGATAATTTTTTTTCCTTATATATTTCATTGAAAACAATATTTTGTTAAATCACTGGAATGAGAACATTTCTTGACAGATTTTTTACCACAAATTTCTTGATAATCCAAGAAATTGTTATATTTGATAAAAACATTAGTTTTCATCTGATCAGCATCAATACTTAAAAAATATTGTAATTTAAGCATGTTAAGTGTGACATGAAAATTTAGTTCATATACGCACAATGAGTTATATAGTCAACATTGATCTTGAATTTTAGAACTGATGTAAGCATGGTAAGTGATGAACTATCTTTTTCTAAAAAAACTAAATATATAATGATCTTTTAGAAAAAGATAACTACACATTTTATGATTTAAGTACTGAAATAAATAATGAAATTAGACAAAAATTGACCATTTGTCAGTGATTAACTATATGTGGTTTTCAATAAAATATGTAGAGGACAAATAAAATTACCTTAATTGGCACAGATCTGTAGATCAATATGAAGCATGCATTATTTTTTGGACAAATATATATGCATTTTGAGTTTGAAAATTTTATGCTAAGACTTAAAATGTAATATAATGTTTAAAAATATATATCAAGTAGGTCTAATTATGAAAATCTGACAGAACAAGTCATTCATTGTAGAAGATGAGATATTCTGGAGAGAGAGAGAGAGAGAGAGAGAGATGAAATTTCATTTGTAGTTGAAAGTTCTGTAGAACACTATATACATATATATATATATTTGACTAGGCCTAGACATGGTTTTACTTACCACTGGATGTGTGGTAGAATTCATGAGAACATAAAGATAAAAATCTGCTTTGGATAAAAACGGAAACCATATTGACTTTTGTTCGTGATCAAAATTAGTTTTTTCCTCAACTGACACAGATTGATTACATTTCGATGGCTGGTCATCTCGAAACGTCACATGTTCAGTATAATTTGTCGGCTCATCGAAAACGATGTCTTCTTGAGAATCTTCCGTGGATGGTGGAATATTTTCACATGAATCGCTTTTTGCATCGGAATAAAAATGTAAGATATTCTGATGAGATACAGACTGAAGATGTCTAAGATAATTTCCACGGTGACCACTCGAGTAATCACATAAACTGCACAGGTACTTTGCGTTTGTTAAATTCGCCGCCATCTCAAATAGCATAAACAAAACTCCTTGGATATCTCGCAAACAAGTGTTGGATTTATCCGATGAGTTCCGATAGATCTAAAATGTAAACAATGAGAACCGAAAGGTAACATTTTGTAACATCCGGCCAAAAAGTTACAAACTTGGAGTTGTATTGCTTAGCTTTTCTTTTTTTATTCGGTGTTTTCATCAATTTGTGTTAATTTCATTTTACAATCGATCGGAATTAGACTAAATAGTTATTTTTTAAAAAGTTTTCTACAACAAAATGCAGTTTACAAAATTCCCTTCGGTTCTTTGATGACGCAGACGGTGTCGTATGGTATCGTTGCAGGATGGAGGTAGGTTAAAGTTCTATATACTCTATCCCCCCTTTTTATTGACTTAAATTCACAATAATTGAAAAAGATACATTTATGATAGATAAATTGATGGGAAGACTGTCTTTTAAACGCAAAACAAAAAAAAAAACTTTATAGAGAAGCAAGATTTAAAGTATATTAAAAAGTAATAAGAAATTCAATGCCCTGAAAATTCTCTTGAAAGAAATTGAAACATTTTTTTATTTTTAAATGAATTTGCATGGCCACCAATTTTTATTTTAAAATAAATATTTGTGGAAAGACAACACGCTTACATTGACAGTGTAAACATATATCAAGTCATGTAATAATTACATCTATCTTTTTATTTTTTTTTTAAGATTAAATTTAAAATCAATGAATAAGATGATACATACAAGAAGTTAAAATTTAATATGAAAACTTTTAAAAACTTAAATGCAGAGAAATATTGTTCTTCAGTAGTTTAGGGATGTAAAAAAAACAAAAAACAAAAAAATTAAATAAATAAATAAAATGATCAGAATCGTTGCTTTTTGTATACCCCCCCCCCCCTTCTTCATCTCTCGCTCTCTATGTTTTCCATATTAAACTTACATTTACAATTCAATTTTAGGAACTCAGTCAAGACTCGCAGATAACACAACTATCCGAAAGTCAGGATCTTTTCCAAGACTATGGTGCACAGAACGATGATTTAGGGAGAGGACAACAGAATGACTTAAAAGAAATATGCAAGTACATTTTTATAGCATTGTTACAAATTATTAACTAAAAAAAAGTTGAGTCAATATACATAATATATTAGATATATTTTTATTCTTTGAACGACAGTCACATTTATATAGTCATCATAATTTTCAAACATTAAATTACAGTGAAGGAATTAAAGTCTCTACGATCTGGCCTGGAGGTTATAAAAAATTTTGAGCACATACTCCGTGCTCAAACTCATACTCCATTCTCCGATACCATAAACATACTCAAAATTTATATACAACTTAGAGTGGAAGTTTGGAGCATGAGTATGGTTTTGGAGTACGGAGTATGAGTTTGAGCACAGAGTATGTACTCAAAAAGTTTTATAACCTCCAGGCCAGAAGTTGCAGAACTTAAAGAGATGCTATCGAGTACTGTCCAACAGAGACCATTCCATATGGCATAATGTTCATTCAAAGTAATAATACACCCCCCCTCCCCCCCCCCCCCCCCACACACACAAAGTTGGGTTTAATACATTCAGGTGTTAATGCCCATAACAGTTATTTAATTAAATTATAATGGATAATTCTTAAATTCATTGATATGAATTTGATAGAGAAATTCTAAATATTTTGTGAACATTCTTATCGAATATCTTATCTAAAAGTTCTCTGTTTACAGGAGAAGCTGCATCTATTTCTGAGACATTTGTTTACCAAAAACATGTGGCTTGATCTCCAGAATGAAGAATACCAGGTGAGAGAAACTGTCTAAATAATTGCATTACAAGAAAATTGAAAGACGATTGTTTAGTACATAAACTAGTAATAATAATATTAATTATAATAATTTTTTTCCAGCCTGAAGTGAAGAAATGCTTACAGAGGGATGGCAGATCCTCGGATATTGATGCATTGAAAAAAGTCAACTCGTTTTCTATGCTGAAATTCACAGAATTCAGAAACCAATTTAGAAGGAGTGTAAGTTTCTATAAATAAAAACTTTATTCCAATGCAATTAGACAAGGGTACATTTTTGTTGTTCTGCATTCCTTACATGCTCCTTATCAGTAAGGAATTGTGAAGCTTTTGGAAAATTAGATATTTAATTATCAGATCGATGACAAAATGGAACTTAATTTTGATCGGTAGATATTGTTGACATACATCAACTATATTTTCGCAAATACAACATTCAGTGTTCTCTTTAGAAGATGAAGTTTTCAGTTCAGTTTTCTTAAAGAAAAAAAATGAGATACGTATCATTCCTTCATTATAAAAGTATTAGAATTCAAACAAAGGGTTAAAAATTTATTCTAACTGGCATAACTTTAACATGTTTAACAATGGCGGTTATCGTGCGTAATAATTAACCTCAAAATTTTTACTTCATTCATACTCTCATATGTATAATACGTGTAATGTATAATGATTACAGCTTGTACAGAAGAGAAAAGTGGACCTCAGAAGTTTGAAATTGGCAGAGTTCTGTAGGGTAGTCTACAGTCCATTCTGCAGATCAGGAGAGGATAATTGCTCCACTGAGAGACGCCGAAATGCCCTACTGTTTGTAAGTACATGTATAAAGATAAGTACTGGTATCCTTCACAAAATTTAAATTCTTGTTACTCAAAATTTGTACGTGATTGTCATGTAAAGATTTTGAAAAACAAGAATTATTCATCACAGCATCAAAACTCGCATGATGCAGCATTTTTTCCATCTTAAATATTTAGTAGATTTATTGGTATGCATGAAGATTGTTTTATAATACACAAGTTATCTACACAATATAGGCCATTGGTGATTTCCGTTTTCATATCAACACTTTCAGAGAACTTTCTTGTATAGACAAAAAATATTTGTCTATACAAACCAGAATCAGACCCAGAACCAGACCCAGCAAGAAAGCCATTTCTGGAATGATTTCAAAACATACATTCAAGAGCACCGCAGCCAAACTGAGGATAAATGGTTAAAGATGGAGGAGCTTGATGGCAGAAGACGAAACAAGTTCCTCAACAGTCAAGGTTTGGTTTTTCCTGATACAAATAGATATTTATGAGTTACTCTGGAATGTCACAATACAATTCATTACTTCATATTATACCGGTATTTCAAAAATAAAGCAAGATTTTATTAAATTTTATCAAATTTTAAAAACAAATCGCTCTCAACAGAGTTGTTGACAATAAAAGTAACGTTAATTCTCATTCCTGGAAATGTGTAAAATAAGTAGTGGGTTCATATTGTCAATTTCATTTTAGTTATTTGATATCATAGTACCATTATGCCAAATTATATATATATGTAGAAAATGTAAATTCTTATTGATTTATTTGTTTTTAGCTTGAAAAATTTGTCAGAAGCAAAAAGAGACCGTTAGTGCGAAAAATATTGACATGGTCACCAGAACCCAAACGCAAGAAGAGTGAGACATTGTTGAAAGGAAAGCTGTTAATGCACCGTCAGATGAGGATCATCGCATTACTAATCATGATACAGTCCAGACAGCAGAAGCATTATTAATATTGCAGAATTCTGAAAGTGAACAAGTGAGTTAAACTTTGAGGATTTTTATACATTTTCTAGATTCATATCAACAGACGTTTGCTATCTCTCAGTCTCTAAGGTATAAATTGCTTAGAGGTGTGTCTGGTCAAATGTGTACTCGCTCTTCCATCTAAATAATAAGTTATATATAAATACTAAATAATTTTTACACTTTCACCAACTTTGTTAAAAATTGAAATATACTGAAACTACAAATGCTTTCACTGTTGCTTCATTACTCAATATAATGGTACATGTAAGTTGGTTGCAGTAGTTGTGAAAAATATGCAGGTGATGCAGTTATTCTACAATGCCTGCAAATGATTTGCCTACATGACTCAACGAAGAAATCATTTAGCATTTAAATTTATCCTGAACAGGTAGGTTTATGTCAAACGCAAGGTCTTTCATCTCAAATTTTGTTTTCATGTAAAAGTTTTCAGTGATTGACATTTAGCAAGTACCGGTATGTTCATAAGAAGCTGATCCTTGAAGGAGTAAGGGTCAAAACTTATTTTATTTTGCAGGTAAACATTGTTTCTGATGGACAGAAAAGACTAAATATACAAGATCCATATTCCATGTTAAAGAATTTATGTGATGAAGAGACCCAGACATCATCTTGTTGCTTAACCTTGAACGAATCTTAAGCATTAAAATAAGAAAATTTTGATTTGAAAAGCAAGTTTTCTTAACTTGAAAGAAAAAAACGTATACAGTCATTTTCCATTGCTGATGTGAAAGCCGATGACAAGAAAATGATATTTTACACTGGTTTAACTTATGGGCAATTTATGTGTATGTGGAAATTTCTGGGACCAGCACTTGAAATCTTTCTCGAATAAATAATTCGAGGAAATTTGAGCTTACACCATCTAAATGGAGGGGAGCAAAGAGAAAATTGTAACCAGAGGATGAACTGTTCATTGCACTGGTTAAATTTTGCCTCAGATTATTGCACACTGACCTAGCCTATCGTTTTTGTGTTTCAATTAGTACTGTCAATGACATAACTTCAACATGGATACAGTTCTTATATTTACAGTTTAATGGACTATAAAGTGCTATGTTTCCATCTAGAAAAATAATTAGCAAGCATTTATTTACCAAAGTCCTTCAGAAAGTATAGAAAAGTAAGACGTGTTATATTAAATGCTACTGAGTTTTTTACACAAGTGCCTAGAAATTATGAACAGCAGGGTTAAATCCTTATAAGAATCATTGTATTTGCAAAGTTCTGATAGGAAACACCTTCAAGTGCATTATAGTTTGTTTCTGATTTGTTTGAAGGGGCAATTTCTCATAAGGAAATTTTCCAAAAGAGCAAAATTATGGATAAAATCCATCCAGGTGATCTGGTAATGGTAGATCGTGGATGTAATGTTCGAGACATTTTGTTGCAGAAAGGTTCTGACATTGTAATCCAACCATTTTGGGGCAGTAGAACCACTTTGTCACAACAAGAAAAAGTGCAGACACGTGTTATCGAAAAATTACGAATTCATGCTGAGAGGGTAATAGAACGCATAAAAAAACATATAATTTGTAAGAAAATTGTACCTTTGAACACACTGTCAACTTTCTCCCAAACAGTCTTTATTGTTGCATGTTTGGTAAGCTTTCAGAAACCAATAGTGAAATAAATGTGATGAAAACTGTTGTGCTTTCAATGTAGATTTTGAAACTGAGTAATTTTTGTCGGAAGAAATTAATGAATTTGATTTTTAAACTTTTTCTATCTCATTTTCGGGTTTTCCTGATCTTGATGGTTTAATCTTTAAGTGATCAGAAAGAATATCTGTATGCACTTATTCACGTATCTGTGAATTTGCAAAATAAAAGCAGTGCACAAGAATGAATCAAAACTTTTTTTTATTATGTACAAATGTTAACTAATACTTAAAATGTATTATTTCAAGTTCACGAGGTAGTCGCATAAGGATATGTTCTGGAACAAGATATTCTCTATGAAAAAGCCTCAAGTTGAGGATACATATAAGACCACAAGTCATTACTGACAGAAATTCTCTCCACTGACATACACAAAGCTGACTGTATTTGAATCTGATAATAGTATTTGTGATTTCTTTTGAGTCTAAAATTTCCTTGATTATCTTTAACACAACAAAAATTTCTACATTGCTTTGTTACATTGACAAATTGTCTATGAAATTCAAGGGATTGCAATTTCTAAGTACATATGTGCATTTGATCTCAACAAGACCCTTTGTTTCATTTAATTTATCAATAAATATTCCATCAGGACTACATCCAAGAGTAGGGTGTTTTTGGTTCAACTACAAACCCGTTTCCTGTACAAGAGCATCAGATTCATGTTCAGGCCCATACAGTAGGGCTGATGTTACAGGGGAAACTGACCACAGAAGTCTATTGACTCAACTCGTAATACCTGTTCTGACACATTTGATATCTTTCGCATTTGATGCTGTTACCCTGCACCATCTATTTACCTGCCAGTCCAGAGATAATGCCTGACCTACTGTGTTATCAACAACAAATGAGGAATATTTTTCAGAACACATTTCTTTTAATTAACAAAAAATTGTCTACATTGAATCTCTAGAATATCTACACCATAATTATCTATGCTGAAATTTTCATGATGAAAACCTAATAAATTTGTCCATCCACTTTTTTGTCCATTCATGACTAGATTTGATCGAAATTCTTTTTTCTGTTCATTTGGTAATTCATTCTTCCTCAGTTCTTCAGGTCTTGGATCAGAGTTTAAGATATTTTGACTGAGGTTTCTTGACGTTTAAGAGTGTTTTTTTTTTCATGGACTTGTATTCCTTGTTGAAAATTTTCTCAGAATTCTAATTCTTTCCTCTACCTTTGTTCGTAGGCAAATCGGTCCCAAATTCAAGAGTGTAGTCCTCCAATGCAAACAACAGAGCTGCAACATGAGAACATCTGCCCAAGCCAGAAGCAGAGCAAGTGCATGTTCCCTCTAATACTGATCCTGATGATTCGGATAATGTTATTGTACAGTTGTAGAAATGTTGTGAGTAGGACGCCAACACTGATGCTTTAACAAAATAGTGTCCTTTTCAACTGGCATCATGTATGTTTTTCACATGACCACTCCTAAAAAGATTCATACACTTAGCAAATGGTTCACTAGTATGCACATCATCTTGACAGTCATCACCAGAGCTGTTTGAATCACACCCTACTGATGCCACTGATTCAAAATGGTAATAGTAGATATACCCATGATTAAAATGTTTTGGTATAGACACGGATGGAAACTTCGTCCAGCCTTCAATTGGAACATATGAACTTGGGATGCAGCATGTGTTGGATTCTTTTTAAGATTCAGCCACTTACCATCGTCAAAATTCAGATCAATTTTAACATTGTTGTTTAGAGCATTCTGGCAATATTATGAAAGTCAAAAAATTGCCAAAAGGTCAAAGCATGTGATTTTTTTTTTTTAGATTTCATCATTTATTAATTTAATTGACATGAAACATTACTGAGAAAACAATTGTTAATAATTATATATTGTTTTTTACTCTATTTTTCGTCGTCTTCCTGGGAACTTTTTTGTTCGCGAGTGTTCTCAGAAACTACTCATCCGACTGAGGTGAAACTCTTTTTAGGATTAATAGGAATGTTGTGTAGATTTGCGGAACGAAAGTCAATTTGCGCGCACATGCATGCACGTGTGTGCGCGTGCAATGAGTAAAATGACCAAGATACCTGAAAAAGCCACAACTTTCATATCTTTTGATGTAATGCTTTGATACTCAGAATATAATATTTTGATAGTGTAGACAAGATGACATGGTAGGCATGCACATGCAGGCACGTGCGCAGTGAGTGAAATAAGCAATATACTTGATGGAGACTTAATTTGTTTATTTTTTGATGAATTGCTTTGAAACTTAAAATGTAAAGATGTTTTGTTGGTGTCAACAAGATAACATGGTCAGCGTACTTATACATGCACGTATAATCAAGTACATGCGGGTGCAATGAGTAAAATAACCAATGTACGTGATATAACCATAACTTTCATATCTTTAGATGAAATACTTTGATATTCAGAATATAGTGAAATATTAATAGTGTAGACAAGATGACATGGTCAGCATGCACTTGCATGCATGTGCGTGCTTGCACAATGGTTGAAATAATCAATATTCTTGGTATAAACTTAAATTTTATACACAGGTAAAATTGCAACGTATGTTAAACATATGTTAAACATACGTTTTACATATGTTTTGAAACATACGTTAAACATGAAAAACGAACAACATATGCTTAACATATGTTTGAAAACATATGTAAAACGTATGTTTAACATATGTTTAGCATATGTTTTTATCACCATGAATGAACATGTGTTTCATAATACACATGTTGAACATATGTTATACCAGGTACTACGGTTTCTGGATTTTAATACATTGTTGCATTTATTTCCTCTTCTTTCCTGGGAAATGTATTTTTTTACCCATCAAAATATTTCATCTTCTTTTGCTTATAATGTGCAGGGCACCAAGTTTGACGTGTATTTCAACAATATCTTTTAAATGATTTAAATGATAACAGAACACAACATTGTTATCAAGTCTTATTTATTATTCTACATTTTGCTACATTTTTTCATCTGTCATAAACTAATGAGTGTAGAGTTGGCAGCATCTAAAATCAATAAAAATGTATTTATATATTTTGAAATTGGCATTGTGTAATTATGCAATTTAATAAAATCTTGCTTTATTTTTGAAATACCGGTATAATATGAAGTAATGAATTGTATTGTGACATTCCAGAGTAACTCATAAATATCTATTTGTATCAGGAAAAACCAAACCTTGACTGTTGAGGAACTTGTTTCGTCTTCTGCCATCAAGCTCCTCCATCTTTAACCATTTATCCTCAGTTTGGCTGCGGTGCTCTTGAATGTATGTTTTGAAATCATTCCAGAAATGGCTTTCTTGCTGGGTCTGGTTCTGGGTCTGATTCTGGTTTGTATAGACAAATATTTTTTGTCTATACAAGAAAGTTCTCTGAAAGTGTTGATATGAAAACGGAAATCACCAATGGCCTATATTGTGTAGATAACTTGTGTATTATAAAACAATCTTCATGCATACCAATAAATCTACTAAATATTTAAGATGGAAAAAATGCTGCATCATGCGAGTTTTGATGCTGTGATGAATAATTCTTGTTTTTCAAAATCTTTACATGACAATCACGTACAAATTTTGAGTAACAAGAATTTAAATTTTGTGAAGGATACCAGTACTTATCTTTATACATGTACTTACAAACAGTAGGGCATTTCGGCGTCTCTCAGTGGAGCAATTATCCTCTCCTGATCTGCAGAATGGACTGTAGACTACCCTACAGAACTCTGCCAATTTCAAACTTCTGAGGTCCACTTTTCTCTTCTGTACAAGCTGTAATCATTATACATTACACGTATTATACATATGAGAGTATGAATGAAGTAAAAATTTTGAGGTTAATTATTACGCACGATAACCGCCATTGTTAAACATGTTAAAGTTATGCCAGTTAGAATAAATTTTTAACCCTTTGTTTGAATTCTAATACTTTTATAATGAAGGAATGATACGTATCTCATTTTTTTTCTTTAAGAAAACTGAACTGAAAACTTCATCTTCTAAAGAGAACACTGAATGTTGTATTTGCGAAAATATAGTTGATGTATGTCAACAATATCTACCGATCAAAATTAAGTTCCATTTTGTCATCGATCTGATAATTAAATATCTAATTTTCCAAAAGCTTCACAATTCCTTACTGATAAGGAGCATGTAAGGAATGCAGAACAACAAAAATGTACCCTTGTCTAATTGCATTGGAATAAAGTTTTTATTTATAGAAACTTACACTCCTTCTAAATTGGTTTCTGAATTCTGTGAATTTCAGCATAGAAAACGAGTTGACTTTTTTCAATGCATCAATATCCGAGGATCTGCCATCCCTCTGTAAGCATTTCTTCACTTCAGGCTGGAAAAAAATTATTATAATTAATATTATTATTACTAGTTTATGTACTAAACAATCGTCTTTCAATTTTCTTGTAATGCAATTATTTAGACAGTTTCTCTCACCTGGTATTCTTCATTCTGGAGATCAAGCCACATGTTTTTGGTAAACAAATGTCTCAGAAATAGATGCAGCTTCTCCTGTAAACAGAGAACTTTTAGATAAGATATTCGATAAGAATGTTCACAAAATATTTAGAATTTCTCTATCAAATTCATATCAATGAATTTAAGAATTATCCATTATAATTTAATTAAATAACTGTTATGGGCATTAACACCTGAATGTATTAAACCCAACTTTGTGTGTGTGTGGGGGGGGGGGAGGGGGGGTGTATTATTACTTTGAATGAACATTATGCCATATGGAATGGTCTCTGTTGGACAGTACTCGATAGCATCTCTTTAAGTTCTGCAACTTCTGGCCTGGAGGTTATAAAACTTTTTGAGTACATACTCTGTGCTCAAACTCATACTCCGTACTCCAAAACCATACTCATGCTCCAAACTTCCACTCTAAGTTGTATATAAATTTTGAGTATGTTTATGGTATCGGAGAATGGAGTATGAGTTTGAGCACGGAGTATGTGCTCAAAATTTTTTATAACCTCCAGGCCAGATCGTAGAGACTTTAATTCCTTCACTGTAATTTAATGTTTGAAAATTATGATGACTATATAAATGTGACTGTCGTTCAAAGAATAAAAATATATCTAATATATTATGTATATTGACTCAACTTTTTTTTAGTTAATAATTTGTAACAATGCTATAAAAATGTACTTGCATATTTCTTTTAAGTCATTCTGTTGTCCTCTCCCTAAATCATCGTTCTGTGCACCATAGTCTTGGAAAAGATCCTGACTTTCGGATAGTTGTGTTATCTGCGAGTCTTGACTGAGTTCCTAAAATTGAATTGTAAATGTAAGTTTAATATGGAAAACATAGAGAGCGAGAGATGAAGAAGGGGGGGGGGTATACAAAAAGCAACGATTCTGATCATTTTATTTATTTATTTAATTTTTTTGTTTTTTGTTTTTTTTACATCCCTAAACTACTGAAGAACAATATTTCTCTGCATTTAAGTTTTTAAAAGTTTTCATATTAAATTTTAACTTCTTGTATGTATCATCTTATTCATTGATTTTAAATTTAATCTTAAAAAAAAAATAAAAAGATAGATGTAATTATTACATGACTTGATATATGTTTACACTGTCAATGTAAGCGTGTTGTCTTTCCACAAATATTTATTTTAAAATAAAAATTGGTGGCCATGCAAATTCATTTAAAAATAAAAAAATGTTTCAATTTCTTTCAAGAGAATTTTCAGGGCATTGAATTTCTTATTACTTTTTAATATACTTTAAATCTTGCTTCTCTATAAAGTTTTTTTTTTTTGTTTTGCGTTTAAAAGACAGTCTTCCCATCAATTTATCTATCATAAATGTATCTTTTTCAATTATTGTGAATTTAAGTCAATAAAAAGGGGGGATAGAGTATATAGAACTTTAACCTACCTCCATCCTGCAACGATACCATACGACACCGTCTGCGTCATCAAAGAACCGAAGGGAATTTTGTAAACTGCATTTTGTTGTAGAAAACTTTTTAAAAAATAACTATTTAGTCTAATTCCGATCGATTGTAAAATGAAATTAACACAAATTGATGAAAACACCGAATAAAAAAAGAAAAGCTAAGCAATACAACTCCAAGTTTGTAACTTTTTGGCCGGATGTTACAAAATGTTACCTTTCGGTTCTCATTGTTTACATTTTAGATCTATCGGAACTCATCGGATAAATCCAACACTTGTTTGCGAGATATCCAAGGAGTTTTGTTTATGCTATTTGAGATGGCGGCGAATTTAACAAACGCAAAGTACCTGTGCAGTTTATGTGATTACTCGAGTGGTCACCGTGGAAATTATCTTAGACATCTTCAGTCTGTATCTCATCAGAATATCTTACATTTTTATTCCGATGCAAAAAGCGATTCATGTGAAAATATTCCACCATCCACGGAAGATTCTCAAGAAGACATCGTTTTCGATGAGCCGACAAATTATACTGAACATGTGACGTTTCGAGATGACCAGCCATCGAAATGTAATCAATCTGTGTCAGTTGAGGAAAAACTAATTTTGATCACGAACAAAAGTCAATATGGTTTCCGTTTTTATCCAAAGCAGATTTTTATCTTTATGTTCTCATGAATTCTACCACACATCCAGTGGTAAGTAAAACCATGTCTAGGCCTAGTCAAATATATATATATATGTATATAGTGTTCTACAGAACTTTCAACTACAAATGAAATTTCATCTCTCTCTCTCTCTCTCTCTCTCTCCAGAATATCTCATCTTCTACAATGAATGACTTGTTCTGTCAGATTTTCATAATTAGACCTACTTGATATATATTTTTAAACATTATATTACATTTTAAGTCTTAGCATAAAATTTTCAAACTCAAAATGCATATATATTTGTCCAAAAAATAATGCATGCTTCATATTGATCTACAGATCTGTGCCAATTAAGGTAATTTTATTTGTCCTCTACATATTTTATTGAAAACCACATATAGTTAATCACTGACAAATGGTCAATTTTTGTCTAATTTCATTATTTATTTCAGTACTTAAATCATAAAATGTGTAGTTATCTTTTTCTAAAAGATCATTATATATTTAGTTTTTTTAGAAAAAGATAGTTCATCACTTACCATGCTTCACAGGACGAAAGACCATCTTTAAGCAATCGCTTAATGGTGGCTTAATGGTAGCTTAATGGTGGCTTATAGAAGTTAATTCCTTTAAGCCACCATTAAGCCACCATTAAGCTGCAGCTTCTAGGTGCTTAATGTCCAAACTTCATTAAGCTACCATTAAGCCACCTTTAAGCTGCAGCTTAATGGTGACTTAATGTCCAAACTTAATTAAACCACCTTAATGCATCCAGTATCAAGTCTTTAAACTAACTTGTTAAGTTTGAAGTTGTTTCAGTATCATTTCCGCAAATACTTATTCAATTCATAATTTTTATCTCGCTATTTCTAACATCTTTGTCAATGCGTATAAACTCGGGAACTGGGAACAGCTTCATCAAATGCCTTAAAATTTTCGCTCCCTAAAATCAGTTTGTTTGAATACTTGTTTTAAAATTATTTTTATCCATAAATACATAATATATATTAATTTTTTTTAAAAAATCACATATTTTTCTTTCGTGTTTGGAGAGCCACGTTCCACTGCCGAATTCATAGGAAATGTAATTAGAGTCATTTTCTTCTGGAATATCTCTGTCTCTTAATTTTTCTTTGGGTAGAGAAAAGTTTAAAATATAAAAAAAATATATAGGTATAGATTATAGTGCCAACCTTTGAATTAATTCATGAATAATTTGAATTAATTCGTGGTTAAGTGCCATTATTTTTTCCTTTCTTTTAAAATACTGCAGAAGTAAGAATTTATTTAAAATACTGCAGAAGTAAGAATTTATTTAAAATAATGCAGAAGTAAGAATTGTTCAAAATATAGTCGGTCTTCAATGATTGTTATTTCAAAATCAATTTACAGAAGAACAGCCGATCAGATTAAACAGGGTATCCGACCAGATTTATACACATTGAGAAGCGGGGTAAAATAATCAGTGTACAGTATATCGACAAGTTAGACAATAGACCTTAATTAGGTGTCCCCACCAGTCCCCGGTCAATTAACAGGAAACTATACACGGGAACGTACAGTGATCGATTTTGATGATCTATTTTTAACAAAACTTAAAATTTACGCAAGCATATAACAAATTAGAAATTATGATTATACACAAAAAGACAATTATTTTGATACCCATAATGATATAAAAAGAATTAAAGCTGAAGATATGTTACAAAAATATTTTATAACTTAATTGTTACGCAAAGATTGTCAAAATCGTAAATATCCGCAGCATATTTATAAGAGCTATAATCTGTTTTTTTTTCCCAATCGTTCTCTTTCGATGATATATTCCTTTTTAATAACAAAATTTTGTTATATCTGTGGAATTTCAATCTTTTCATGCTTATAAATCGGCGAATAACAGAACGAGGAATTCAGTTACTTAAAATCAAAAAGTTGTTTCACACCATCACACCGAACTCCGGTCCACGGTTAAGAAATATTAACGTAATATAAAACTTTATCAAAAAATTTCAAAAAATTCTTTTTTAAAATATATACATATATATAAATATAATTATTCGTATTATTGATTAATAAATATAAACATCAGAAAAAAAAAAACATGTACGGTACCTGTAACCATTCCAAACAAGTTTTGTTAAAAATAAAGGTTTTATATTTCATACCAATTTCAACAGCTTCGATAGCTCAGTAGTTAAAGCGTTCGCCCTCCACGCAGAAGGTCGTGGGATCGAATCCTGTTGGGAATGCTTTTTTTTTTCATTTATTTTTTTTTCAATTTTCTTTCTTTTACATTATTTTCGCTGAATTAACAAATGTATAAACTCGACATTTATAATTTTTGTGAAGAAATCATTATAAAAATTATATTTAACCCGTAAAAGCAGTTTTATCGACTGCGTAATGGTGACTTAATGGTGGCTTAAAGGTGGTTTAATGGTAGCTTAATGGAGTTTGGACATTAAGCACCTATAAGTCTGGCTTAATGGTGGCTTAATGGTGACTTAATGATTGTCTAGAAGCTACCACTAAGCACCTATAAGCCACCATTAAGCCACCATTAAGCTACCTTTCAGCATCCATTAAGGACTTTGAGATGGCTTAATGGTTACTTAATGGTGGTGTATTTATTACTTAAATGTAGCTTTAAGGTGCTTAATGGTGACTTAAAGACAACCATTAAACCATCATTAAGGACCTATAAGCCACCATTAAGCCAAACTTAAAGGAAGTGTTTCATCTTGTGCTTACATCAGTTCTAAAATTCAAGATCAATGTTGACTATATAACTCATTGTGCGTATATGAACTAAATTTTCATGTCACACTTAACATGCTTAAATTACAATATTTTTTAAGTATTGATGCTGATCAGATGAAAACTAATGTTTTTATCAAATATAACAATTTCTTGGATTATCAAGAAATTTGTGGTAAAAAATCTGTCAAGAAATGTTCTCATTCCAGTGATTTAACAAAATATTGTTTTCAATGAAATATATAAGGAAAAAAAATTATCTTCACTTTTGTCACATATCTGTACAAATTCTTACACTTTTTATTATTCTTTTTCAGAGTGATGAAGTAGTTAAATTTGTTGTTTTCATCTTAAAACAGTGTGGAGTAGAGGATGTTCCTCCATTTTCTTCAATCAAAAGAAAATGCTTTGGTTCCTTTGATTGGAATGAGTTCCTAATTAAAGTAAATATTCAATTTATTGAAGTATTGTATGATGAAATAGAAAAATAGAGGATATCTATTTTAATACACTGTCTATCCTGTATCTCATGTATTTCTCTCTCTCTCTTTATCAGTGAATTTGTATCACTTATAATTTTATATTTTGTATAGAGCCATGATGATGACAGTACTCCAATGTGGGCTATTAAACCATCAGCAATAGTAAAGATGGCAGTTGCTCACCCTAATGTTTCCAAAAAAATCATCAGATAAGTGTAAATAAATTTCTTGATATATAATAAGTAAACTAGCCATTGTAGTGAAATGAGTATTATTACAAAGTCTGTAACAAGGTGATTGATTTGCATTTATTTTAAATATACTTCATGCATGTTGTCACTCTTGTGATGACCAAAAGTCAAGAACTATATTTTGATCAATACATATTCTTCACATCTACAACTTAATGTAATCACATCTACAACTTAATGTAATATGTATATATAATAGGTATCCCAGAGTAGATTCATTAGGAGAAAAAAGTCATCCTGCGTACGGAGAGAAGTGGATAAGTGATTTAGAATTCTGTTATGCTGCAGATGAAAACACAGCTTTTTTTAAAAATGAGGTGTGCATATTTGAATCAGATGAAACTGAGCAGATGGGAATTATTGAAAGCTTTGTAGAAAATGTCAAGGTAAACAGTCTCATACTAAACTTCAAATAAAATCAAAGCGAAAAGACTGTGAAAATTAACACATCATACTTAACGAAAATGAAAACTTTGACATTCTTTGCGCAAATACATTCACATTTACATTTTATTTTATATATTGTCCATGTTCTAATTATCAGGAAAATGTAAAAGAAGCTGTTATTTCAACTGTAGAGCCCATGCTACTTAAACCTCCATGCTGCCAAAGTGAAAAGTAAGTCCTATTTAATGTTAATTGAATTTTTACAAAGTAATTTTAAAAAAAGCACAAACTGTTTTAAATATGCTATGCTTGTATAACAAAAGTAAAAAACTAGAATTCATTCCTTAAAATTTATTTTTGTACTATAAAATTCATAATAAAAAAAAATTCAATAAAATGATGTTACATTGTAAAAATTTTGAATGGGACGTGAAGCTGAGTAATAAGTTCTGCATGAAC